TCGCCGGCTATCCCTCCTCCTCCTCCGCCACCATCGCCTCTCGGCGTTCTCGAAGTTCCGACGCCGGTTGCCCTCCCTGCTCGTTGCCCTAGCCCGGATTCCTGATTTCTATCTCGAGCTCTCTTTCCATTTTGAGAGCTCGATTATCCCTTTCCTCTCCCGCGCTGCTCCTAGTGACACTTACCGTATTTGGAAGCGCGGCGGTGACCTTCGTGCTGATACGACTCTCGCTGGTTTTGATGGACTGCGAGTTCGCCGTGCCGATCAGAGTTTTATATTTTGTTCGAATTCGAAGTCTTTGTTGGTACTGAATAGAGGGAAGAGGGAGATTAGAGATGCTTTCGAGGGGCTAGATTGCTTGGATGAGGATGAAATGGATGAGAGAGAGTTGATCGAGGATGCTAGCGCTTATAGGCCAGGGTTGGATATTACAGAAGCCGAATTGGTGAAGGTGATGAATTGGAGGAGGAAGGAGAGGGTGGAAATGGTGGGAGATTGGAAGGCTAGGGTTTATGAAATGCACAATGTTGTGTTCAGTTTTAAGACGTTGAAGGCTGCGGAAATGGAAGAGGAGAATCTCGTCGAGTTGGAATTGGATGAAGATGCAGAAGAAGGGTACATTGTGGCTGAGATACCGAGCTTGCCAGCGAGGCATAGTTGCTATGAAAGAGGAAGAGAGGAGGTGGGGTTTGAAAATGTAGTTAGGAGGAGGAGTTTGGATGTGGGGCCCATTACGCCGATGAGGAGAGAGGAGAGGAGGTTGGAGAGTGTAGGGGTAAAGAGGAAGGAGAAGGAGATGGTGAAGAACTTGAGACCAACCGTTTGGTTGACAGAGGATTTTCCATTGAAGACGGAGGAGCTTTTGCCGATGTTTGATATACTTTCAAATAAGGTGAAGGCAGTGAGGAGGCTAAGGGAGTTGCTCACTTCAAAGTTCCCACCGGGCACTTTTCCGGTGAAGGTAAAAGTTTAAACTGAATTAAGTAACTTTTTTCGTTACACGGGTATTCTAGGACATGTCTGTTTTCCGTGTGATATTTGACAGAAAATGGTGTGAAGTGAGTTGAATTGCCTTGTTGATAGCTTACATGAATTGATAGGGATGGGAATGACGTGGGGATTTGCCCATTTGCAAGTTTTATTGTAGGAAAATGCAAGTTGAACAGGTATTTATCTGAGAATAGGTAGTGAAGTTAGAATGTTCTTTTGGTGGGAAGTAGATTTCCTACTAACTAGCTGTTTTGCAAGTGGATAATCGTGGACATGTGGGAAAAATAATGAGGAATGGAAGGAAGAAATGGGCAATGCCATAGCGTTTGAAAATTGTCATTTAAAATATTGTTTGGATACAAACCTTTTCTTTTTTTATATAGAAAATAAATTAACGAGGGCAAAGTAAATGCTAAAACCACAGATGGTGTCAGAGTCTCGTCAAACTTCCACAACTTTTGGTTCTCTGAATTTTCCAATTTACTCTTTGTGCACAATCTAGATCTTCATGTGCACAATTGGCAATAAAATTTTATAAAATCCCTCTGAACCTCTTGATTTCGCCTATCTAAGATATGTTGCCTAAAATTCCTTTGCCATGCTTTTCTACCTCTGTTCGTTCTGTTCGTTCTGTGCAAGTCACTTTTCTTATGGAGTAGGGCGTGGCAGTGATACCACATGACAGAACTTATCCCATATTTGATATATGTGGGTCTATCACAGATTTTGAGAATAGTTGGTGGCACTGGCAATTACTGATTCAGAAACTATTTCAAGTCAAATGGGCATGCAAAGATTTTCTTGCAATAAGGAGAGAATAAACATATTTAAATTCCTTTCACTGCAACTTCCATACAAAATAATTGTGCCCTAACTCTGGACCACTTCTGATATGAATTTTGGTTAACCCTTGTTATTCATCATTTTTCCTTTGCCCAAAATACTCAAAATATTTTCTTCTAATCTCATACTTCTATTGTTCCTTGTTCTGACTCCAAATCTTTATTAAAGCTCACTGGATATTAAGTTTAACTTGTACTCAACATGAACATGTGCTTTCATACATAACCCAGTTACATTCATACATACAGACAGAGAGGAGGATGACAGAAACGGGTCCTTAAGTTTATGGTTTAACACATTACATTTAACCTGGTGTATTTTCTACATTTAACATCTGACTGATGTTTCTTGGTCAATCTTGATTGACGATCAAGGCAGACTGCTTCTTATCTATTAACCACTTCAATTATGTGTCACTATTTCCATGTAAACAATTTTATTATTGAAACAGTTAAAATAAAAGTTTCAAAAATGGATATACAATGGAGACCTATTGGAAATTGAGGTACAAAATAGAATTCTAGATCCTTACGTGAATAGTTTCTATACTTATACTCCTTCCCCTTCTCTCTTTTATCCCTCTTCATCGTTAAAAGCTGTATGAAACTGATAAACCAGATGTGAACTATAACTTCCGAGTTCTGACTGAATGTGCCGCCTACAAAGTTGCACACTTGCACCTGTGTCATCAGGTTTCAGAAAGTTGTTTCTGATATCTTATTTTCGGCTATTACGTGCTAATCATTCCAAATGCTTTGCTGAGAATTACTAGGACTCAATATTTTCTTTTATATTGACCCATGCTGGATATGGGACTAAGTTGCTGGTCTTTTCCTTTTATTTTATCTAGTTCATTAATTCCCTGGAAAAGTGCTCCTTCTGCATAGTGGACTACTTGCAATGTAGACATCAAGACATGTCTGCCAAAGGAAATTTAAATATGGTTCAATGTGCAAATCCTTTTCTAAAAGTTTTATGGTTGGATATATGAATACCAAAAAGTCTGTAGTACGTTTTAGGACTGTTGTATGCATATTCAAGTTTGATCAGCAAGGTGCAAAAAATTTAATTTCCTGTCGGAGTTCTACACTATCGTCAGAGGGAATCAATTTTAGACGTACAATTCAATGTGCCTTGATTATTTTCCCTGTTTAAAGCAAAGTTGCAGAACAATTTCAGGAGGTTATTATGCTTATTGAACCAATGCCGATGTTTCTTTTTGAGTATTAGCTTCACGTAAACCAACTTGAGTTAATATACCTTGATTCATAACAAATATATTGACTGTTGGATTCTTCAAATTCTGGGCAGGACAGAAACCAAATAAATATATTCAGGCGTTAGCAATATAGTTTATATAAAGCTTTGCGTGTGTCTTTCAATTAATATATTCACACTTTCTGTAGCTATCTAACTTGTTGAAGTTCTTACATACTTTTTTGGTTGCTACAGCTTTCTATTCCCATTGTACCTACTGTTAGAGTTGTGGTAACTTTTACTAAGTTCATTGATCTCCAACCGGCAGAACAGTTCTTCACTCCTCTTTCAAGCCCAAGACATTTATCTATCCCTGAAGAAGAAGACCATAGAAAAGCAGAGAATGGAGCCAATAAAAACTCCTGGCTTAAGTGGGGAAGCAATCCGACAAAATCCTCAATTTCCCGGTCAAAATCCATAAGCCCTTCTCAGGTGATCAACCATGTAGACCCATTCTCTATTCCAGGAGATTACGCTTGGATCAGTATCAAGGATAAGAGTCAGAGGACGAAGAAATCCAAGTCGAGAAAGGAAAAACAGAAACAGAATGGGTGAGTGTAATTTAGTTAATTAGTTTGGTATTCTCATTGATAATGCTGATTGAAGAATTCCTTCAATAGTAGCGAGATTCGTATTACTATTATATCATCTTTGATAGAAGTAACACCTATAGCTTGTTATTCTGAGCTCCTACTTCTTCTTATAGATTATCATAGTCAGAATGATTTCCTGAAATCTAACCTGATTAAAGTGGGAAGATTTATGATTGTAATATACAACAAGTGTTGATTTGTTGTTCTGGATCTTCTCGCTCATCGTTTCTTGAAAGCCAACCTCACCTGTTCATTTCTTTGTTTTCCCTTTTCCCCCCTTTCAAATTCATTATGTATTCGGGGAAATTAACTGCTGAAAATCAATTGTGTAGGATCTACAGTCTAAAATATGGTATTTCCTAGTACAAGTCCTTGCAGTAACGGTTAGTTCAGGAACCCCTTAGAATGAGGTTTTCTAGAATAAACCTTTCCTTTGCGGTGGAAAAAAAAAATCTACTCTATACAATAAAATCATATAAGAAGTAAGGAGAAAGTCATAGGAACAAATTTTATTGTGCAGACAATATTGTGCACCTTTTGACAAATCTTACAAACAACTAATCAAGGTTTGATTTAAATCGATCCGAATCCAATATTATCTCTAATCATTCTATCTGCAGCCTCCTCCATAAATCCAGTTCGGTTCCCTCTTAGCTTTCAATTCAAAAGAAAATCGATCCCTCCTCTCCCCCTTCCCTCAACTGCAAGAAAAGAAAACTACAGGAGAGGCATCAATGGCGGCCAATGATTATTGCTTCCATTCCATGAACGGCCTCATTGTCACAACTTCAATGACATCTTCTATTACTCCTGCATCCACCACTCTTTCAGCCTTCTTCTTAGCCATCACCTCCTCTTCTCACCGCTGCTTCTGCAACATCCCATTGGATCCCATATTCTCTTCTTGGATCACTTCGAACCTCAAACTCTGTTGAGATCACCTGACGATCCCTAAGAATGGCTACATTTATGAGCACGTTCGTTCAACCGCTGGCTTCTTCTCCTACCTCCAATACAAAACCAGCAGAACCAAGCACGTTGACTTCTTCTACCTGTGCCACATCAGGGTTTCTTGCGTCTGCGGTTTCGTACCTTTCCTCCATCCCCTGCTTGGGTCTCGGTGAGTGTGGCTTAGCCTGCATCTGTTCTTCCGCCCACGGACTCCTCCTCTTTCGCAATCCCATCTCGAAATACTACATTATCAACCCCTTCGTTAAGCAAGAATACTGCGGCATTTCCCGCCAAATCCCCGCTCAACCACATCAACCTCAAGATCCTGCAATCCTCGCCTTCAACAATGTCACCCATGCCTACCATATCATCTGTCCCGTCAAGATTGGTACTTATCCCTACCGCTTCGATGTGTTCTCCTCGCCTACACGTCAATGGGCCTTCCCTTCAACCCTTGACGAGGATCGCAGCATCAGGATTGGTCTTCACATTAGAGTTTCTTGTGGCTCAATAGCCTACTGGTTGGCTACAAGAAGCACCACTGAGCCGATCTTTGTTAGGTACAACGTTGAGACTAACTGTGTAACAGAGCTGTGGTTACCGATACCAACTAGGCCGAGGATGTTGCAGGTGGGAAGAGTGGGGGGCAACGTCGGCCTCGTCCTCCTGAGTGAGGGTAAAGTAGAGCTTTATTTGTTGTTGGGGCCTGGAGATGAACGGACTCCTTTTTGGTTCTTGGATGTCAGAAGCTTGAGGTCGATGCCGTAACCGATGAGGTTTGAGAGTTGGAGAGTTCAGGTGGTGTTTTGGGTCGACGGGGACTTGTTTTTTTGGGGGGGAGAATGATGAGTTTGAACGGACTCGAACGAGGGTGGCGAGATTGCCTCGCGCGAGATTGGCGGCCAACCTGCATGATATTGTTCGTTCCTTTCCTTATGTTCGCTCTTCTTATGGCCCTAGCAATTACCACACGATCGATGCCGGTATATTTGAACAACCATGGTTGCGTTAGCTACCTTTGACATGAATTATTGATTGGTGCAATTTACTAATTCGGATGCGGCATCAACGGTTTTGTAAACAGCTTTCTTTCAAGTTCTTGATGCAGAAATTGTCTTCAAGACTCCATTCTTTGTACTTTGTTGCTTCATATTTTGGTTATGTTTTTGTCAAGACGTAATTTTCTGTTGGGCAGTTTTGCCTTGCATCCTTCTTGGTAAGAACTACCCGTTTCATAATGTTTATCCGACTTATCTCCTCTTTGAAAATTGACTGCAGTAAATATCAATGGTCATTCCTACTAATTATGATAGCTGGTCACCTTAATAGGGTCAGCAGTTTTTATTACCCTAATATGTTTCAGTAATTGAATTAAGCCAATGATTTTTACCTGATTCATTTTTCGGTCGCTTTCTGGGAAATAAATGGCGCGTTTAAAGCAAACTGTGTGTCACTAAGAAACATTAATAAATTGTTTGGGAACCAAAGCGTGAGACCTAGCCCCAAGACGATGTGATAGTATGATATCATAAATGTAGAATAAATAAAATAGTATTGACCACAATGGATCGAACACCAAAAGATAACGAGTTTAGTTAGTGTGCATTTGGCAAAATGATAAAAACTGAGCCAAGATTAATCATGGCCTAGTTTCATTCTGAACTGATTTAAACAAGTTTAAGGGATTTTTTTTGGCTTATAAAAATTGGGCTAACATTGACCTAGTTTTTTGTCAAACCAAATAACACCTAAAACTAGGACAAAAATTTATAGGTTTATCAAACACACCCTTAGATCTGGGACTTAACGTCAAATGGAGGGATCTTTTCTCCACAATATTAACACAACTTTCGGAAAAACGTTCAGTAAAAAAAATAAAGGGCCGGAGGACATGAAATACAACTTACACCCTCCAAAAATGACACTAGAACTTGTAGGTAAATTTCGCAAAAAATTGGAGAAATTGTATTGACGGCAGACCAAGTTTAGGGCTTGAAATTGCACTCATAAGTCTTTGAAGAGCACGGAAATTGTGGCAGGAGGAACAATTTAAAGAATCAAATGTCCTATCTGCTCATGATTTTGACTCCGGTTCAAAATCAAATTTGATTGGGCCTAGCTGCTATCTAAAATGCGGTAGAGCTAGACAAAATCCCATAAAGTCTCTTTTGTAGTGACCGATGAGATTTGAATCTGAATTGTTCTAATATCAAATTAAAGTGCTTAATGATTATATCAGAACTTCGAAAGTTGTGATAAAGATTATATTTTTATATTCTAACACAGTCTCTCAATCCAAGTTCAATAGTAGCAACGAATTAAATCCTAGCCGAGCACCTCTTTACGTAATCACGCTCTCCTTAATCAATAGGAAATCTATTCTAACTCTTGTACCCTTGTCCTGCTCCGTATAGGAATTCGATTTCACATCATAAATACCCCATATCTTAACCCCAAAAAAAAAAAAAAAATCCAAAAGAGATCTTCACCTTCTTCCGTCTGTCAACTCGTTTTCACCTTGATCACATCAATGGCAATGGCTAGTACTCTCGTACTCAGTTTTTCAAAAATTTGCCTTACTTTTCTCACCTTCAACCTCATCCTCGAAATAATCCGAAAACTCTTTCTCGACAAGAGGAGAAGAAAGAAGCTGTATCAGGCAGACGAGTACATAACAGACTTAGGCGTGATTGAAGGCCGAAGACGGGCCAAGTGGGCCTTACATGAGCGTGGGCTAAAAGTGTGGGCGTTGCTTGGGCTGGGGATTCTAGTTCCGAGTTCTATTGCGGAGGTACTAGCAACGCGGCTGCGCAGTTTGTTTATGGGAAGCGTGGCTGGATTTTACGCTGGGATGCCTCAGTTTGCGGTCTGCTTCGCGTCGTGGTTGGAAAAACTGGGGCTTTCTTTTTTGGTGGTTCCTCCGGTTTTGTTCGTTTCGGGTTTGTTTGTTAAGAAGTTTAGGTTTTGGTATGGACTCGTTGGAGGCCGTGGGCGATCGTCGACGAGGTTTGTCTGATTCGTGGTGAAGTGATAATTTGAAGGGACCAAAGTTTACAGGTTGGGACTAAAGATTAACTGCTTTGGTTAGGTTTATAGTTTCATGCCTTGGAACAAAGTTTGATATTATTAATTTTGTTTGTCGTATGACATACGTCTTCGTTTTTTTTATTAATGAATGAGTGCTGCTACGGGGACCCAAAATATATGACCAAGGGAGGGGACATGTGAGGTGTCCCCTTCCTATTGCATAATGAGTTGACATGAGTTGGCATGATCAACTCATTATGCAATAAGGAGGGGACACCTCACCTGTCCCCTCCATTGGTCCTATATTTTGGGTCATTAAATCATTTTCCTTAATGAATTAGCTAGAGTTTATAATTGGGATTGTTCTTTGATTTCTTTTTGTTTTGTTATATGTACGGTTGCGCTTTATTTTTACTTCTCCTTTCTTTATGCTGTCATTGATGGATTCGGATCCTCTCTACCAGCAAAAAAGTAGGGAAGAGACCACAACTTAATCGTCATACTCATAGATTATTTAGTGGGTGATTTTGATTTTTTATGTAGGAGAGGATCCTAATGCAAAAGTAGCCTTTTCTAAAATAAAAAGACTTCTAGATGAGAGAGCCTACCTAAAAAAAAGGCTTTTCAAAATATAGAGCTAGCATATAAAAATTAGAAACTAAAAGAGACTATAAAACTCTTTGGAGCACAGTTTAAACTAGAAAACACATTGTGTTGTAGACGAATCATTTTTCGAGCTTTTCAAAAGCATATTTTAATAAGAATTCTATAGAGGGAATCAAAAGATATGGCTGAAAATGAAACTTTTTGCTTGAACCAGTTTGGACTTTCCGCAATTCGATTTCTCTAAAAAAAATCATTAGTTATTGCCTCCATGTCTGTTATATTGTTAGTTTTGTCACAAATTGCTTACATTGGATTTTTAGACAAAAGATTAACTTCTCTTTCGTTGTAAAGCTACCATAATTTACAAGTTCTCAAATCGTTAGTTTTCTCATCACATTAGGAATTCCATGAAATTAATATTTAATAATTAAAAGTTAGAAATAGGCAATGTCATAAACACATATCAATAACCCTTGGTCTTTTAAGTCAAGACCCCCAAGCCCTAACCACTAGGTCAATTGGGGTCTCTTTTCTTTCGATATTAATAGAACCTAGTCAGTGCTTTAATATGACTTTGAGGATCCAGCAGCGTTCGATCAGTCTCGACAATTTTTAGTTGTACGTTTGTTAAATCAGGACTATTTAGCTAAGTGTCATATTTAAATAATTCATATTTGCTACATTAAAGGGTTACTTCTCGTCAACATTTTATTTAACATGCATATTTATCGCATAGAATAACAATTACTACACCGTGTACTTTTCTAAACTATTCTCGCTTGATGAATCAATTTTAAAAATAAAAATAAAAAAGATTGGAGCCCATCATTTCTCTCTCTTATAATATGAGAGTAGCTTAAGTGGAATATGGTAGTTATAAGTTAAAGTTGATATGAACCACCAGCATGACAGCTGCATTTACGTGTCATCTTCTAATGCATAAGTTCTCTAATAAATACTATACTTAATAAATCATAATATTCACTAAGAACACGCGCAAACACATATAGGGCTTGTTTGGTAACTTAAATTGATTTAGGGGAGCAAAATCAGTGTAAGGGTCAGTGTAGTATTGCTTTTGCAGACTACTACTACTTATCTCTTAAGAAGCGGTTAATAATAGTGTTTGGTATAATGCTGATTGAAATTGATTATGATTTTAAGGATTTTAGAAACAACACGAGAATGTTTTTTAAAGTTGCTTCTGCTTTTTAAATTTTTATATCATATATAACATTTAGCTTTTTACAATATTAACTTATCCGCCTTTTAATTATCTTGCCTATTTTGATAGCTAAAGTTATTTCTATTTTGACCATTTTTACTTATCGTGATCTTTAAGCATGATTTTACCAAACAACTTAGCTGTTTTTAAAATCAGATATGTAAGTATCAAACGATTATATCCAACAACTTAGATAAGTTGTTTCTATAAGTTATTTATACAAAAAAAAAAAACTTAAAATAAGCTCCAATGATAATGAATTTCTCATCCTCATTTAGCTAATAGTATTAAAAAAAATCTTATTTGCTCACAATATGTTAATATTTGGCCTTTACGCGTTAAGAGAGAGATGAGCTTGCTGAAGTACTTGAGATACGAAAGGCAAAGTCGAGCAGCAAACGGAGGGGCCGTGTACCAGGCATTGAGAGGACAACCCGGAGCTATTTCAGCGCATCACCGTTCAAAATTAATTATTACCAAAGAAATTAAAATTTTAACATCAGCCTAATTGTTATGCAACTTTGTACTAGCTTAATGTACAATATGATACTAAAACACATAATTAAATAAATGTCTTTCATAAAGAGAATTCGATTTTGATTTAGCGCTCTCAGTTAGTGTTAGTTATAGTTAGACTAATTTTGACGAGCCAACTTGAGCTAGTACGAACATAAATACAAACTTAGTTTTGTTTAATTAAGAAAAGAGTACGCATATAATGTAGTATTTTTAGGAGTAAATAACCAAAATGCCAGCATTCAGAGAGTATATACGTACGGAGATCTCTAAATTTTGATGGATCATAAAATAATGGATTTTTAACCGTTATTTTCAACTAAATATAAAACAAATTTTTTGCATATTAGATTCTTTAATTGTCAAATACTAGCTTGAGTACTATTCAATAAACACATTTAACTGAAAATGCGCTTAATAAAGATTTTTGAATGAACAGTAAAGAAAAAGTAATTTATATCAATTTCAGAAAGTATTTAAATAATCAAATTTAAAAGAAAATGTTAACTATGCAGATCAAATCAGAATTAAAATATTATCTTGTCTCAAAAGGAAATCCGTGAACCATTCACACGCGGATTGAGATTTGAAAAAGAGGAAGTAAAATTCCTCGGTATCTTATTTGACTGCATGTAGGACGATAGCTGGACGCGGTTATTTTTTTTTTTAATTTTCACATACTATTGGAATAAGAGCTTTGCTGCAAGGACCCAAAATATAGAACCAATGGAGGGGATAAGTGATGTGTCCCCCTCCTATTAGATAATGAGTTGGCCATCATTAATGATGACCAACTCATTATCTAATAGGAGGGGGACACATCACTTATCCCCTCCATTGATTTCATATTTTGGGTCATTTGGGAATTTCTCTTGTAATAAACACAGCTACTCGTGACAAAGCTCGAGCCTCGTTTGGGTTCGCGAGGCACAGGGCAAAAGCCCATCAACAAGTAAAAAGGGGAAGAAACAGCACGTAACATGCATTGAGAGCACAACCCGGATCATTTTTGAATCGGAAAACTCCAGACCATTCATCACTCATCTTACTCAACCCAACGGTTCAGATCGATCCCTCGAGGGCCCCCCCCCAAAAAAAAAAGAAAAAAAAAAGAAAAATCTCAACTATACGAAACCTCAGGTATTGTAAAACGCTAGAATACGCTTCTTTCTCCCCTTTGTGGGCCCAAACCAAGATTGGCCCCACCAACCTCCTCCTCCCCCTCCTCCTCCTCCTCCTCACTCCATTGCCCTCAACATCAACAGCTTTATATTGATTCGATCCTCCAATTCGCAAGAACGCGCCCACAAAAACCGCGCTTATTGCCGGCACCTCGCATGAACCGGCCCAGAGATGATGAGGAGGCGGCAGCTGTTCCTCATTAACCTCCAGCGACCGGAACGCTGCGACGTCGGCGGGGACCACACGGTCTCAAAGAAGGGTCCGTGGACCGCTGCCGAGGACGCGATCCTTATGGGCTACGTCCACAACACGGAGAGGGGAACTGCGAACGCGGTCAGAAGAACTGCGCGCTGGCCCGCTGCGGCAAGAGCTGCAGGCTTCGGTGGGCCAACCACCTCGCGGCCAATCTCAAGAAGGGATCGTTCACGCTGAGGAAGAGATGCTTATTCTCCAGCTGCATGCTCAGCTGGGAAATAAATGGGCTCGGATGGGCCGCGAGTTGCCCGGCCGGACTGATAACGAGATTAAAAACTTGCTGGAACACGAGGGTCAAGAGGCGGCAGAGGCTGGGCTCCCGTTGTACCCTAACGAGATCCGGCAGCAAGCAGCAGCGAGGACCAGACCGTCGCCCTTGAACTTGCCCTCTTCCACGTCGCCGGCGGCGATGCCTTTGCTATTCTGCGCCGGGAGATCAAAGAATGAAGGGGGTGTGGGTTTCGACGCCGCCGGACGACGGCGTACGGGTAACATGTTTCATGAGTATGGTTACGACGGGAGCGGCGGCGGGAGTTATAACGAGACGCCGAGATCGTCGCTGATGACGCCGATTATTCGCCGCGACGGTGAAGACGCGAGCTCCCTTCATACCAATTGTTTAATGCCGGCCCTCGCGGCCCTGAGAACGGGTGCAGGCTGTTGGATGCGATGGCTGGAGGAGACGGGGGTGAGCGAGGGTTCGGCGCGGAGGGAGATGGTGGTGGCTTTGAGCCAATCGTAGGCAGTGAAAGGATTTTGGCGCGGGGAAGTGGGATCGGCGGCACGTTGGGTGATGACAAGGATCTGTTTGGGGAATCGTTCCCTAGGTTTGAAGATAATGGTGAGTCTCTCTCTCTTTGATGTTTGATCTCTCCGTTCGATTTAATTTGGCAATGTTTGGCTTGTTTGTCGATTTCATGAGGTTGGGGTTTTTTTTTTCGGATTTCATTTGGTAATTGGATTATTGGATATTTGCAATGATGAATTTATCGGTGTTTCCTTAAAGCTTCAATCTCTCTGTTTACTCATTAATCTGTTCTTTTAATGAATTTAGTTCTCTTTTTGATCTCGAGGTTGATTTTTGAGTTTTCCTTGTTTTAATCCGTTTTCCAAGTGGTTATATATTTAGATTTCATTAAAAAATAGCTGGGTTTTTTTTTTTTTGATACTAGCCCCCATGTTTCTGATTGTGTCTGTTATGATTTTGTTACTGCCGTGATATTTTCCGTTTTCATATAAATACTTCCTCTTAATGATATTATTTTTTTCACTGTTGATTCTAATTTAGAGGAGGTGGTTTAGTTTTCGAAGGCAAAGCTGAAGTACAATGATTAATAAATTGATTCTTTCGATCTTCCTCCAGTTTCTGCGCTGAAAATATTTGGTCACGCTCTTTCTTGCACACCATTCTTTTTCTTTTATTAACAGAATCTTCTCCCTTTTCATCGTCTCGAGTCTGTACAGAGAGTGATGGTCCCTTGACTGCTTTTGGTTCTTCTGATTGTGACTTTTTTCTTCACAGTTACTTTTTTCCCTATTTCTAATTTCAAGTTATTTAAGTTAGAAGTTTAACCGTCATTAAATATCACCCATTTTCCTGTTGCTCTGAAATTTCTGTTAAGTTCAGAAATTCATAACCGTCCTTATATAACTTAATGAAAGTTTTTCAATCAATTTATTTAAGACCTCTTCAGAATTCTCTGCTCACTAATAAGTTTGAAACATTCCCCCCCTCCACTCATGATGTTCACTTATTTAGTCCCGGTAAATATTTAAAATGAGAGGTTAAGGGAAAATGCTAAATGGATTAATCTATTTCTAATAAAAAAGTGACTAAATCATTTAATCTCTTCTATAGTCTTAGTTAATTCTTGCGCTCTTAGTTAGTTTTTGAAAGTCATAAGAATGTATATAAGGTCCAAATTGATTCAAAAGGTTCTTAATTGCGTCATCAGGCTAAATATATCTAACTACATATGTATCCATTAATTGTTCTTCTAATATTGGACTAAATTTTGTTTCATGTCTTGCTAGACTAGACCACGAACCAAATGGACACGACACACTCCTAATGAATAAATGACCTGGGTCATTTCTTGAGACATCCAGAATTATGGATCACTAAATCTTTCAACAACACATCTAGATAAACTTCTTCTTTCATTCTTCTTTTTTTTTTTTGCCACTGATAAAATGAAGAGTGATTAACTTATTTTTCTTCCAATAAGTTTGAAAAGTATAAAAAGAATTAATTTCTTAACATTTCTGATTTTTGACAGGTATAAATGTGAAGAGAGAGCGAGAAGAGGAGATAAACTCAATATCAACGCATGACGACATATCTAAACTTTTCGACATGATCTCAACCCCGGGCATGCCTGCAGCTCCCGAGTGGTACCACACCGCCAGCGACAGCTACGAAATCTCCAACGGACGACAATCTTCGACTGCCACTGACGACGAGCTCGGCCTCGAGCTTCAGAATCTCGCCTCATCGCTTTCCGTTGCTCCGTCGGAACATGATTGGAACGTTGGGTCCTGTTCTTGGAGCAACATGCCCAGAATCTGCTGAGGGGAAAAAAGGGGTACTCACGCTGTGCAAGTATCTAGAATTTCTGGAGCGTATTATTTAAAACTTAAACTTTGGAAGTTGATATACTTATGTGCATATAATTATTAGTCCATTTTCATTTTCTTTGCACTGTGATTTCTGAGCTTAACCCAGAGCCTGTTCTAGGCGAAATATAGAAAGGTACTTTGATTTGAACTATGAAGAATATTAACATTCTAATGTGGGAACAGTCTATGACTGAACATAGTACTGACTAAATTAGAAAGAGAGATATGGGCATGAGAAGAAAGTGGGTGCTTGTTTCTACTGTACATATGTATGGCTATCTCGTCCCACTTTAGGAGAGGTGAATGCATTAGGCACCGGCTACTAGAATCCCACGTGCTTCTCAAACAAAGTAAATTTTAGCATATGCCTCTTTTTGATTGGGGTTCACACCATTGTACCAACTCCACTTTCCAATCTCGGCGAATTTATGGATGGTGATCCAAACCCAGTCCAACCCCAACCCAGTCCAAATTTATCGATATGAAAAATTCAACCCAAAATATGGAACCAACAGGGGGAACAAGTGAAGTGTCCCTCTCCTATTGCATAATAAGTTGGTCATCATTAATGATGACCAACTTATTAAGCAATAGGAGGGGGACATCTCACATGTCCTCTTTATTGGTCTCATATTTTGGGTCTCTGTAGCAAAGCTCTATGGACATCATAACCTCATGTTTAACGAGACTAACAAATGTGTCAAATAAGGATTAAATGATTACTCAACGTAGCTGGTTTTGGGACGTAGTGGTAATACTTTGACCTAGAGATCCTTGTGCATTGCCCATATTTTCCTAAAAAAGAGATTAAACGACTTACCGAGCTAATCTGTTTTAACCCAATTAAAAAATTTTATTTTTTTTTAAAAAATTAAAATAAATTTAAATAATTAATAAATAGAACAAGCTATCAGTCGATCATAAAAGACAATTATTTTTGGGGTTAGAATGTAAAAACCTATGTGCTCATTTTTTAAAAGATGGATACATGTTCAATTTTCTTCACTTGGGGATATTTCTACCGACCATCGATTATTAGCTGATTGAATATGGATCGAGATCTTTGAACTGATCATAAATGAATAAGTCACGAGACATGAATTAGACATATACAAAATTGAGTAAGATGACAATAGAATATTATATCTGAAGGTTATACTATATGACCATAGAATATTATATGTGAAGTAGGATGTATATTTATGGGGGCAGTCTTTATTTGTGGATCATCCTTTTTTGGGATTGTGTTAGAAGATAACACAGTTATACTGCAGAAAGTGTTAATCATTTATTCCATTTTTTGGTCCTCTAGCTTGAAGCGCAATAACACATCAATAAAATGTAAACAAAGTTTCCTCCTAAATTTTTTGTCTACTAGCTAATTGCTAGCTTCACATGCATGATTCTGTCATAATTTGTTGATTTTTATACATAAACTTCCAAACTTCCGTTTATAATAGTTAAAACAAATTCAAAATAATTTTTAAAGAGGTAGAGGTGCATGCATTAGGATTGCATGACCTGTGGATCAGCTGTTCATGCAGAATACGTGCATTGCTCACTTTCCTCCATGTTTTATGCCAGGCCTCCCTCAAGAAAAAAAAAAACAATTATTGCATTTTTTATTTTATATGTATAGATATATAGCTTATGTCAAGAGATGAGAGTCCCTTTGGTCTCCTCTTCAAGAGCAAGTTAATTGATTTGGGGACTGTAGCTACTCATTCTGACTTGCTTGCTTTGATGTACCCATGAATGGAGGAACTTGTTGCAGGTTGCAACATCTCTCATGGGATCAATGTGAATTGTGAGGCTTCTTCCAAAAAAACAAAAAAAAAACAAAAAAAAAGGAAAAAGAACTTAGTCTAATTGAGCACCAAATTGGCGGTGGAGGACATGGTTTATTGTTCAAAAAAGTGAAATTGAATGGCAAAAAATTCTAGATTCATAGTCAAATTAAACTAGGACGGCTGTTACTTTTTGTGTAGGAAAATGATAGGGGTATACCCCAACCACATCCCAAACCACACCCCCTCTTTCATATGCTACAGTATACTGGGCTCCACATGAGATTTTAAAATTTTAAAATCTCATGTGGGACCCGGTATACTATAGCATATGAGAGAGGGGGTGTGGTTTGGGATGTGTTTGGGGTGTGCCCCTAGTGCCACCCTTTTGTGTAACAGTTACCATGTACAAACTTTTATGAGGTCTGAGTGACTCGTAATTTCTAGTAGCAATCCACAAGAAATGACTATATATATACATCGTGATCCATTTATTATTATATCCTAAACCAATGACAAGTAGAAAGTAATTAATTATTTATTATTATTTTGAAAATAGTATATATTATTCTACTATTAACTATGTCTTTTCAGCTTTCCTATACTATGAATAATAATCATCTCTGTTTCAATCCTATTAAATTTCATCAATTGTTTCCTATGGTTACTCTTCAGTCTTCCCTCTTCTCCAAACTTACAGACAGCCGTCTGTCTTTCGAGAATTTCTGTGCATTTGCGCAAGCAATAAACTAGTGAACAATCGCAGTGAGTAACATTATTCAATTATTTTATCGGAAACTGGATTCGAAGAAATGATCTGGGTTAAATGGCACTTAAATATCAACCTTGCAAATATGCTTTCAATTTGATTCAAGCAAAGCCTCTTATTTGAAAGTGAAAGCTTAAATAGAATAATTTAACCTTTTAAATTGGCTAAATGGCACTTAAATATATATCCTATTATTTCACCACTTTTATACTTAAATACCCCATTATTGCAAAATGCTAAAAGTTCATTGTGGTTTATTGTAATTTACTCTAAGCTAAATTATCACAAATACTTCAAATATTGAACAAGACATATAAGTGTCAGAACATTAAAAGACTACTACTCATAGACATGTTACCATTCACAAATGAGGACCAAAACATTCTTATAACATTGAACTTCTACATTTTATTAACCGAATCAAACCGACCTAAAACCCCTTTAAATCATAAAACCCAAGTCCATAACCAAATTCATTAGCACCAGAAGCTAAAACCAAACCCGCATCATTATTAACATTCATACCAAAACCACCACCATAGCCATTTGAACCATAAGCAACAAAATTAGCAAGAGCCTCAATCTCAAGTTGATTCCTCCTCATCTCAACATCCCTCTTCAACTTCTCCAACGCCATCTCAATCTTCTCAAGCTCGTCCAACCTACACTCTTCGAGATTATTCAAATCCAACTCCCCTCTCAATTTCCCTTCAAGCATCACTTTCTTCTCTTTTTCAGCCTCAAGCAACTTACTCAACTCTGTAAACTTCCTGTTAAGTTCAGCAACAGTAGCGTTTCTTCGAGACTCCGTAAACCGATCGGGATGATTACTACCACTACTACTGCTGTTTCGAGAGAGAAAGCGATTGACGATGAAATCGACAGAGGGATGCCCAAAAGAGAAAGGTTTGCCTGCGGGAGAGAAGACTATGATGGCAATATCAGCACCACAGAGAACAGAGAGCTCATTGGCTTTTTTGAAGAGTCCTGCTCGACGCTTTGAGAAGCAAACTTGGCGAGCTTCTTCATCGGTGATGCGCTTGATCTCGATCTTTTGCCGACCAATGCTTGGTTTTCTATTTTTAGCCACCATTTTTTGTTTGTCTTTTGAGGGTTGATGGTGATGAGAAGAGGTTGGACGTTTATATAGGGGAGTTCGTGGAGTGATGGCGGAGGTTTAATGGAGGTGAAAGCTGGTGTGCGTAATAGTAAGTTGCTATATTTGTTTAGTTTTGATAACTGAAATTTAGGGGTTAATTGTTTTGAGGAGGAAATTTAGGAGGTGATTTTATGGTAAATTAATTAATTAGTTAATGATTACGCCATGGTGGCAGATGGCAATTTTTTTATTGCTTACCATACTTAGGGGAGCTTTCATAAGAGGTGGATAAGTGAAACAAAATAAAAATGGGAATTAAAAATGCCAATAATGTTGCAAAATTATCTAGATGGGAGTAAGCATTCGTTAATTATTAGTAATAACATGAAAGGAAGTTTCAAACGCCACTAGCAAGACAACCAAATTGCTGCAAACTTAGCACTGAAATGAAATAAGTCGCATTTAATTCCCACTTAGTCAATTCTGTCAAGGGACCCGAGAGCGAAGGAGAGAGAGGAAAGAATCTCCGCCGTAGTTTTTTTGCCGAACACCAGGAACTTCAGTATTTTGACAAGATAAAATATCTACTTACATTATACTACTAATTTAGGATTTGGATCCTCTCCACTACAAAAAAGTAGTGGAGAGACCACTACTTTTAATCTCAAGCGTTGATTATTTAGTAGGCGGTTATGATACAATTTAAATCTAACATTTACCATACCCCCGTGTATTGCACTTATTCCTAATTTGCACTAAAAGAAAAAATCATAACCATCAACTAGATAATCAATGGCTATGATTATGTAGTGGTCCATCCACTATTTTTTTGTAATGGAGAGGATCCGAATCCACTAATTTAGTTATCCCTAAATTTCAGTTATCAAAACTAAACAAATATAGCAACTTACTATTACGCACACCAGCTTTCACCTCTATTAAGGGGGTGTTTGGTAATCTGAAAGTGAATTTAAAATATATAAGTTACTTTTTTTTGCAAATGACTTTTACATCCATGTCAGCACGCAAGTGAAATACATTGTTTGTTTGAAAAATTAAATTATTATCGAAAGTGTAATGTGAAGATGACGTGGCAAAATAAGATTAATTAGAAAGTATAATTAAAATTATTTAATTAAATTAGTTACCTTTTTGTCACTTTCATGTGACTTCATCACTTTTTTAGGGTAAGTCAAAATTGCATTAAATCATATGTGGAACTTTCTTGCATCTCACTTTTATAACCACTTACATGAAAACAAACACCTTAATTGTTAAATGAAAGTAACTTTCTCACTTTCATCTTTCACTTGCATGCAAACAAACACCCCCTAAACCTCCGATATCCCTCCATGAACTCCCCTATATAAACGTCCAACCTCTTCTCATCATCATCAACCTCAAAAAACAAACAAAAAATGGTAGCTAAAAGTAGAAAACCAAGTGAAGGGATTTTTTAGATCCTGCAAAACCCCCCAAAAAACCACCAAACGCAACAAATAAAATCACACAAGATTTAACGTGAAAAACCCTCAACAGAGCAAAACCACGGGATCAAAATCAATCCACTGTCACCTCCAAATTACAATATTTTGCACGGACAAAAACTCTCACTCTCTCTCTCTCTCTCTCTCTCTCTCTCTCTCTCTCTCTCTCTCTCTCTACACTTCTTCTTCTCTTAACAATAGAAGGATATATATAGAGAAACCAAAACTCTATCTCTAGTCTAACTTCTTAATTAGAGTAAGATTCAAACTCTCAATCATGATGGAACCCAAACTCCTAATCATGATACATCCCTAACCTTATCTAATTCTCATAAAGTTATACAAAGAATTAAAAACTCTATCCTAACTTAGAGTTTAAGTAGATACTCAACATATCCTCCCTCGACGAAAAATCTCCAAGTGTCTCAACGACTTCAGAAAAACTCACTCTCTTCATCTTGTTCTTCACCTCTCCCTTATGGACAACAGTCTGAGAAGAGTAATATGCACCATTAACGGATCGCCCATTTAAATAGTAAATATGATTGCTATTCTTCCTCCCTCGCAAAATCAAATCATCATCTCTATACACATTGCACCATTCTCCTTCACCCACATACTTATACCCATGTGATGCCATCTCACCGAACGAAATTAAATTAGCACCACATGTCGGCACATATCTCACATGATGAAGAATTCCGACCTTCCCAGTGTGAAGTTTGAGGCGAACACTTCCAACTCCTTTAACCTTCATCTTCTCATTGTTTCCAACAATCACGTCGTCAAATTCTTCATCCGTCTTCAATGTGTTAAAATAATTTTTGTTGTTGCAAATGTGCATAGAGGCTACAGAATCTAACACCCAAGTGTTACTCGTATCAGTACATGTACTCTACATCAATAAAACCACATCTTCATCACACACAACCACTGAGGAGTACGTCTTCTTCCCATTTTCTTGAAGCTTCGTCTGTTTAATACTCTTCAAATCATCACGTATCTGGGAACATCTGAACTGAATGTGACCATTCTCTCCGTAATAATAGCACTCTTTTTCGCTGTCATCACGGGCCCGAGATTTTGACATTCATTGATAACTGTTACATCTTCCCGTACTCCTCCCTCGATTAGAACCTTCAAAAGCTAGTGCACTCTCACCACCATTAGATACGCTCTCCTTTCTCATCATTCTTCCATTCTCACATAGGAGTGTTGTCACATCGTCGAATTTCAAAATCTGCTTTCCTACAATTATCGTCTGAACTAACGGCTTGTACGATTTTGGCAAGGAAGACAATAGGAGTAGTACCTACTCTTCTTCTTTAATCTCCTCATAAATATTCATAAGTTGGCAAACTAGCTGATTAAAGGCATTGATGTGGTCTTGAATTATAGTACATTCTTCCATCTTCAACGAATAAAGCTCCATCCTCAAACACAATCGGTTGGTCATCGACTTTAACGCATAAATCCCCTCGAGCCTTTCCCACAGCCCCCTTGGTGTGGTCTCTTGCATAACATTGTACTTGATTTCGGAGGCGAGTGCCAAACGAATTGTGCTAACCGTCCTCTTTTGCATGGAACTCCATTCAACATCCTTCAATCATTTAGGTTTCTTCTCCTCCAAAGCTTGATCAACACCCTGCTGCACAAGAATATCTTGAACCGTGCATTGCCATACTGTAAAATTTGTCTTGTCATTGAATAGCAGAATATCAAACTTCGGACCCGAAGAAGTCATCATCATCTAACCACGATCAAAATTCAAATCAATCCCTGTAGAGATTTAATTTGATAAAACCGATATAAAAAACGAACTCAGCATGTCAAAAAATCCTAGGAACGGCTCCTGGATCACCGAAACCCGCCTCCAAATCCTCGATCAAAAGACAAATCAACCTCAACCGTCGGATCTGTCACCGCTACACTATCCGCCACTATAGTGCCGTGAACAGTGCGTCACTGTGAATAGTTTCTCTGCTACAGTATCATGGTGAACAGTGTTGTTGCTACAGTACCGTTGCCGCCAATGTCGTTGCAGATCTCGGATCTTCACGAACCGTCGAACCCCGCTATGATACCACTTGAAGGGATTTTTTTTTAGATCTCGTAAAAACCCCCAAAAAACCATCAAACGTAATAAATAAAATCAAACAAGATTTAACGTGGAAAACCCTCAACAGGAAAAAACCACAGGATCAAAATCAATCAACTATCACCTCCAAATTATAATCTTTTGCACAAACAAAGACTGCTAAACTCTCTCTCTCTCTTTCTCTCTACACTTCTTCTTCTCTTAACAATAGAAGGATTTATATAGAGAAACCAAAACCCTATATCTAGCCTAACTTCCTAATTAGAATAAGATTCAAACTCTCAGTCATAATGGAACCCAAATTCCTAATCATGATAGATCCCTAACCTTATCTAATTCTCATGAAGTTATACAAATAATTAAAAACTCTATCTTAACTTGGAGTTTGAGTAGATACCCAAAACCAAGCATTGGCCGACAAAAGATTGAGATCAAGCGCATCACCGATGAAGAAGCTCGCCAAGTTTGCTTCTCAAAGCGCCGAGCATGACTCTTCAAAAAAGCCAATGAACTCAATGTTCTCTGTGGTGCTGATATTGTCATCATGGTCTTCTCTCATGCAGGCAAACCTTTCTCTTTTGGGCATCCCTCTGTCGATTTCATCGTCAATCGCTTTCTCTCTCGAAACAACAGTAGTAGTGGTAGTAATCATCCCGATCGGTTTATGAAGTCTCGAAGAAATGCGACTGTTAGTGAACTTAACAGGAAGTTTACAGAGTTGAGTAAGTTGCTTGAGGCTGAAAAAGAGAAGAAAGTGACGCTTGAAGGGAAATTGAGAGGGGAGTTGGATTTGTATAATCTCGAAGAGTGTAGGTTGGATGAGCTTGAGAAGATTGAGATGGTGTTGGAGAAGTTGAAGAGGGATGTTGAGATGAGGAGGTATCAACTTGAGATTGAGGCTCTTGCTAATTTTGTTGCTTATGGTTCAAATGGTTATGGTGGTGGCTTTGGTATGAATGTTAATAATGATGGGGGTTTGGTTTTAGCTTCTGGTGCTAATGAATTTGGTTATGGACTTGGGTTTTATGATTTAAAGGGGCTTTAGGGTGGTTTGATTCGGTTAACAATATGTACAAGTTTAATGTTATAAGAATGTTTTGGATCTCATTTGTGAATGGTAACATGTCTCTGAGTAGTAGTATTTTAATGTTCTGACTTGGTTATATATCTTGTTCAATATTTGAGAATCTTGTTACTTGAGTATCTGTGATAATAACTTAGCTTGGAGTAAATTACACTAAACCACAATGAACCTTTAGCATTTTGCAATAAACCCCTACGAACTTTCAAAATCATACTAAACCCCATAATAACTTTTCTATTGTGCGGAAAACCCCCAATAAGTTTCCGTATTTTGCACATAACCCCCATAATTAGAACTAGAAAACACATAAAACGGCATTTACTAATTATTGGGGGTCTAGTGTAATTTACCCGAAAGATATTGGGGGTTTTCTACAAAAGTTATTGGGGGTCTAGTACTATTTTGAAAGTTCATAGGGTTTACTGCGAAATGCGTAAAGTTCATGAAGGTTTTGTGTAATTTCTGTATGGTTTTATGCTAAATTTAAGGTATCTACCAGTAAATACTGTCCTTTAGATTCGTCTGTATATCTAAAAATTTGGTGGATTTCTGCATTTTTATGAACTAAGTGGGATCATATATCATGTAAGGTTTAAAAGCTGCAAGTCTTCTGATTTACATTTTATTGCAAGTGATTTTCTACCTTTTACCTTTGATGGCCTCACAGCTTCCAAAGTTTCTGTTTCTACGCACAATTGATGCCTTTATTTTGTGAAAAGTAATAAAATTTCCATCAAGCGCAGTCTGAAGCTATGTCTCAAAGTCACCATTCAATCCCATTTTCAGATGATTTGAAGGTTATTAAACAACAATCCTGTACAAGGACAAAAAAGTCTCTAGCTACAAATTACAGTCCATAGAAAAAATTTGACCTGTTATGGCATACATCATCTTGTGGAACATAAAGTTCAATGAATGTAACGTACAAAACCTGAATTTTTGATATTTTGCAGCTTTAGGAAGCTTTCTACAATTTGAGTTTACACTTGCTCCCCAGAGTAAAATACTAGGAACGCACGTACCTTTTTTGAGACCGCAATAACTTAAACGATGGTCACCACCCCCTCTTTAACCTTCAAGAAACCAGTCTTATAACTGAAACACCAATTCAGAAATTGTCTGAATTTATCTAGTTCTCCCTCTTTCACTAAAATGCCGCTGGTAGGGCTGATTCATCAAGAGGGAAATAATAGCCATTTCCGTTCTCTTCAACAATTTACAACATACATTTCCATCATACATACATAAACATAGGCGATATATTCAGTTACAAAGAACTTGAATGCAAGAAAGGATTAGTCATCCTAACCTGATATACAATGATTTCTGTCGAACAACAAAATAAATCAAATCCCGCAAATCTAACTAGCAGAAGATATGTACTATAACCAGCACTGCCAAAACCCAACCAATCTCAGCAGTTCACTTCTCTGCCCCTTAGTTTCTGCCACCAAAATCTTCACTACAGTAGACGGCCATCCACACCAAATTGTTTATCAACATCATCTCTCATCTTTCTCTATTTGGGCTAATAGCTCTACTCGATCTAGGCCTATGCCAAAATCACTGAAGCAGGACAACTTTTTGCAAAGTTGCAATCATGTTATCATGCTCTCAAAGGGCATCCTGCACCCGAATAGGATAAAAGTTCAGCATTTTCGTTCACAGCTGCAACGCTAGGTCTGGCTGTTGGGAGTCGATATGAATGCCTGAAGAAGACCGAGCTGGAGATGCAGGGGGTTGGAAACTAATGTTCAAGTCTGGTGGCAGTGTATCTTTCTGCTTATTTTGTTGCACTACACCTTGCCAAGGAGAGCGCAATTTTGAAAGATCAGTAGTCATCAGCTGAGGAAAAATAACCAGCCCTTTCGTTTGTACTTGGGAATTTTCTTGTTTTATAGTTGCCTCTTCGTGAACCCTGGAAGCTGGAGCAGGGGTTTTCCAAGTGGGGCTGAAAGGAGCAGATCCAGCTTGTTTGTTTGGAATCCCTCCAACAGACATCCAAGCCTGAGCAGCTGCAGCATTGGGATTCTCTCTTTTGGGGACTTGGACAGAAGGAATAGATCCCTGTAGATTAGTAGTTGCTCTGTTTGGTGTATTTAGATGGTCAGAATTCTTCACTGATGAGCTCATCCATCTTAAAGGATCACTGGTAGCCTGCTCCTGGTTGCCTCGAGCAAACCAGTATTGTACTCCAGCTTGATGATTGGAAATGGCTCCAGAGGGTATTGAACCATCAGATGTAATCCAGTTATTTAAACCTCCAACATTCATAACTAAGCCATCATTTCTTCTTTGCGCTGTTTCTGGCTGTTTTTTTAATGGTTCAGTCTGCACTTGGCTCCTTCCCATTAAATTTACAGCTGGAAAGTTAAATGTTTGTGATTTTGGATATAAATCAGGTTGATTCCTATCTGTTTCATTAGTGAAAGTCTTCTGCACTTGAGCCACTGGATTCTTAGGTTGCTCAAGCTTCTGGCCTTCAGTCTGCACAGGGTTCCATCCTCGAGGAATTATTGCAGTAGTAGTAGATTTTGTGCCATCAAAACAGATATCAACCCTATGCCCAGCTGTTTCATTAGCGTATGCTCTGGCCAAATCACTGGCTGGTGGCTTCATCTGGGTCTGCTGCAGCTTGTGAGTTTCAGTTTGCACTGGGTTCCATCCCCTAGAAATTACTGCTGGAGAAGTAGATACTGATGCTTCAGAGCAGATATCAACCCTTTGCTCAGCTCTTCCATTAGTGTAAGCCTTGGCTACGTTACCAGCTTGTTGATTCTTCTTCTGCTGCTGCTGCTGCTGCTGTGTTGTCCTGCTGGTACACGGCTTCAGTTCAAGATTAACCCCAAAAAGCCCTTGTTTCTGTTCTTGAGTTCTATCTCTTTGCTCACTTGAAGAACTAGATGTTCTATTAGAGGGCATTACAGTGGTCATCTGACTAGGGAGACCAAAAGCCGTGTCCTTGTGTTGGCTATTTTTAGTGGTCTTCGCCATTGATTTGTTCCTGTTGTCCTTTCTCCATACTGCTGAACAGGTTTCTGACTTGATTTCAGTCCCCTTGCCCTTTCTTGTTAATACCAGCTTCTGCTGCTGCTGCTGCTGGTTGTTCTTTTCAAGAGAAAGAATAGGAGTTGAACAAGACTCATATTCCCCAACCCATCCCGGACCAAATTTTACCCCAGGAGGCAAGATTTGCTGTATCTTTTTGGATGCAATTTCCCAGCCAATAGGTCCAAGACAAGAAGCAAAACGAGAAAGGCTTCTGGCATAGGAATATTCAGAGTTAAGGCCCACCTGCTACAGGAAATGGATGTCAAATACAGTAACGCAGCATAGAAACTTCAAAAGAAATTTGATTTTTTAAACATACATCAACCAACTGCTTTGTCTCTCCCTCAAAGACATCAAATATCGAGTCAGTGCCCGCAACTGACTGTTCATCCAATGTATTGTAAGTCGCTCGACGGTTTACATCAACTACACATGGTTTCATCCCAAGCTTGGAGGGTGAGCTCTTAGCTGAAACATAACCAGAGTAGGCAAAAGCATATCGTCAAAAGATATACCTTAATTAGATGCAAGATAATGAACTTGTTATTCTCTCAGAAAATGGGGGAGAGAGGAAACAATTATAAATAAAAAAAGGAAAGGGAGGGGTGGGGGTGAGGGCAGGGTGGAGTGGACAAAGAAGGCCAGTTGATTCTGAAATATGCTAGGAAACAATGAAAATGAATCCATGAAGATTAATATAACAAAGCAATGCTCTTTCTTCCAACTCTTTTTCCAATATTTATCTATTTGAAAATTTATCTAACACTAAGCACATTATTCTGAATGGCATTTCCTAAAATGAGGACACACGAATTAGATTTTTAAGACATTAGAATCTAAAATGCATGACCATGCCTACATGGATCGGAGCAAATTCAACCCAAGACCCACATCCAACCAAAACCATATATTGCTTCAACTGGAAACCAAATACCGTCGAGTAAGGTCAATGTCAGGAAGTAAAATGGATTTAACTACGCATTTGTTTCCAACCTTACAGCTCCATGGGGAAAAAAGAAAGTAAGACCTGCAATTGTTTTGGTGGGAAGTACAGGTTACATAAGGAAAGGAAAATTTCAAGCTAATAATCCAGTAATCAATGAATATGGTTCAAGTGTATGGGGCAAGACATGGATGCTGGATCTGACCTCACTAAGGATAAATATTGCATGTCGTGATAGGTATTCTAGGAGAAGCCAACCCTTCACTTATGCTTATTTAAAAAAAACATGTAAAGTTTTCTCAAAAGGGAATCCTGAACACACTTACCTATACATACGATGTTATAGAAATATGCATAAACTTACATAAAACAAGTATAAGGTAAAAGCCCATAATCATTATACCTGGAACTTCATCTGCCTTATCTGATTTACTCTCATTAAGACAAGAACTTCCACCCGCTGACCCATTTGACCCCTCAATACTGCCACCTTTTATTGTGATCAACTCAGTGTCTTCCTCTACTTCCATGGCAGCCTCACTGGACTGTATTTTCGTCACCTCTGTGCATGGTTCTGCAGCTGGGGCATTACCATTAGCATGAATTTTGCTCAACTCAGTGAATGCTTCTGCAGCTGACGCAAGTGTAGCACCAGAGGAGACATCAGAACCAAAGGGCTCAGGTGTCCTCCTATTCAGATGCTCCTCTTGTTGTTCATTTTCCTGAGATGATAAATCAGAGCAATATGGCTCAGGTTCAGTTTTGCACCGGAGCTTTTTCAGCTTCATTTTCTCCCTGGGGGTAATATCAGAGTCTAATAGTTCAGGTGCAGTCCTGCACTGGGTCTTTCTTAACGTCCTTTTCTCCATAGAGGAGAAAACAGAGCTTCGTGGTTCGGGTGCAGTCCTAAACTGGGACTTCTTTATGGTCTTCTTCTCCAAAGAGGAAACATCAGATCCTCGCATTTCGAGTGCTGTTCTATGTTGGGGCTTCTTTAGTATCTTCCTTTCGGACCTTTCCATTGATGAAACACCAGAGCCTGGTGGTTCATCTGCAGTTCTATGTTGGGGCTTCTTCAGTATTTTCTTTTCCGAAGGGGGAGCAACAGGGCCTGGTGGCTCCAGTGCAGTTCTGTACTTCTTCTTTAGAGACTTTGTTTCCATGGAAGGAATATCAAAGGCAGGCGATTCGACTGTATTTCTATAAGGCTGCCTCAGTGTCTTCTTCTCTGACGAAGAAATATCAAAGTTTGATGGCCTGGATGCAATTCCAGTCTGGAGCTTCCTCATAGTGTTCTTGTCTCTAGAGGATTCAGACTTTCTTTCAGCTCTTTTGGACATAAGATCAGCTCTTATTTCCTGAAAGTTTCTCCGTGCCATATCTTCTATAGAGCGTGCCTTTTCCAAAATAAATCCAAGAATAAACAGAAGATTATGTGAAGCAGATAATAGATAAACATATATGGAAACCACACAAATCACTAAACCAATCATCTACCTGCCTAAAGTAGATAGTATCAGGTGCATTATACTGCATGGCATTGCTGCAGATTAAGAAGACATCATCCTGCATGGAGCACAAATGGATTTAAACTAAATCAAGCAAGAAGAAATTGCTTTGACAGTTTTCCCCCATTAATCGCAAGTTTTACCATTCTTGACAATAGCATTGAAAGGAAAAAGGAATACGGAGATCAGTCTTGACAATAAGATACATCTAGAAGAATCCTAATTTATTACAAAGGTATTGATCTGTAGCAATGTACATTCACAAAGAAATAAACTTCTATTTGCCAAAGATAATTTGACATAATCTTTTTCTCAGCCCACAACAGAACACATCTTTTGACACAAAAACTTATTTGACAGGCTTTACGCATTTAGCTATTTCCATTGTGAGGTTCACATCATACACTGAAACACATACTTCCCATGAATGTCCATCAAATGTGGTTGCATTAACAACATCCAGTGCTTCTACAATATCTATCTAATCCTCCTATTTCACCTTATCTATTTGCAGAAATGTAAGCTATAAAGGTACTGGGTAACGTTATACAACTGGGTCTTTGCACATGAGCTAAATATTTAGAAAACCATGAAGAGTTGAACTAAATATAAGCTGCACTATTTATTTGAGATGTTTTCTGATGCAGAACAATCGTGGACCTCCGTATAATGTGATTAAGATTTATTAGAATCTTTCCTTTTTTTTTGTAGGATTTTATTTTATTCTATGTAATCTTCTTTTTAGTTAGGATTTCTTTAGAATTTGATTTTGAAATCTCTTTTACTTTAGCTAGGATCTTATTTGATTGCATCTTTTAGTTTTGTTAGGTTTTGATTTGATTAGGATTTTTATTTACTTCCTTGTGTTTGAATGGAGGGTAGAGAAAGGAAGGGGGAAGGGAAGAGAAATTTGATTTTAACCTTGTTTGGGAGTTCTATTGGGAGGGTAGAGAAGGAAAATGAAGAGAAAATTTACACTAAAATCTTACACCCCAAATTGGGTGGTGAAGGAGGAGAAGGGAAAATTGATAAGTTCCATTCTTTTCCCTACCTTTTCTTTGCTTCCCTTAGTGGGCTCCCAAACACAACATAAGTATTTAGTTGCTTTCTTTTCCTATAAATAAGAGATTGAATCCTCCATGAGAGATAGATATTGATGAATAAAAAATTGAGTTTGATTTTGAGCATGTGAATTGCTTATTGGCATGTGAAGTGTCTTTGAGGTGTGAAGTCCTTAGGTGTGAGACCCTTAAGTGTGATGCCTAATACATATTAAAATTATCTTTCAATTATCTTTCTTGATCATCCGCCACTCATTTTCCCTCCAAAAGAATCACCACCATCCAACCAAGACAAAACACCTCCACATAAAATAAAATAAAACTGTTGTTCAACCATGAACAGTACCTACATATTGTTCATCTTAGTGGCCTTCTTCATGGATTTTAGCCCCATTCCGTCAAGTCGTCGACGATTTCTCGCCACCAGATCGAAACCCTCACGCCGCTCCTCATCATTTGGTATCAGTGACGAAAGATCCACAAGTATCAGGGGTAAAATACTACTACCTCCTTCACAAGTGTATGATTTTAATCCACTTAAATTTGGTATCCTAGCTTATTTTTACGGATTTGATGGATATGAGCCTTATGAATTTAACGTCTGGATTTTCAATATAGAAGATATATTTTCTATTGATGATATGTCAAAACTAGAAATGTATTTATGTGTTGTGTAGGCTAAAGAGAGGCAAAATACTGGTGGTATAGAAACTATTATCATTCAAATATCCGTTCATGAATAACTATGAAAGCTCTTTTTGAGAGAAGGTACTTTAGTCCATCATCTAGAAGATATTGTTTCACTTCAAATTCTAAAGCAAAGCCAACACAAATTCCTCAACCACGGCAAGAGGTGGATCTTCAATCAAAATTTGATTTCAATCTAGATTCCAAGCCTCAACTTAAGTCAAACGAGAAAGCAGACAATATCAAAAATTTAATTAAGATCCAAAGCCCGAGTCTAAGCGTGAGCCAAAATCAGATGTAGATCAAAAGATCAATCCAGAGTGTGAGCCTGAACTACAACCAGAAAAAGCAAATCAAAAGATAGATTCAAAGCTCAAGCTTAAACAAGAGTTGGAACTAAAAAAACAAAGCAGCAGGTCGATCAAACTCTCGAGTTTGAATCAAACCCAAAACTCAAGTCAAGCCTAGAAACCGAACTTAAGTTCGATATGCAGTGCAAATTTTAAGATTTATAGATCATCTTGAAGATCTTTCAATCTACAACAAAATTCTTCTCACCAATCAAGTCAAACATTACGCCTCCTCATTATAAAACTCGAGGTCGAGTTTTCTCAAACAAAAAGAGATTTGATGCAGGATAATTGTGGACCATCCATGTAATGTGACTAGTATTTATTAGAATCTTTTTTTGTATGACTTTATTTTATTCTATGTAATCTTCTTTATAGTTAGGATTTCTTTATGATTTGATTTTGAAATCTCTTTCTATTTTAGCCAGGATTTTATGTGATTGCATCTTTTAGTTTTGTTAGGTTTTGATTTGATTAAGATTTTTATTTACTTCCTTAGATGTTTAGGTTCCGTTTGGATACCATGGTGTTTTACTTGTTTTCATTGTGTTTTTGTCAAAAATAACACCATGCGTTTGGAAACCATGATATTTTTTGAATTAAAACATCCTCAAACTAAAAACACAACACTTATTTCAAAACACCTTTTAGGTGTTTTAAGTTTAGGGTTTTGTTTTTGAGTTTGAGGAGGTGTTAATATAATATCTAACATAATATATTAAATATAATTAATATATAGTTATTATCAACATACTTTTTATATTATACTACATTATATTATAATTAATCTAATTATATTTATTAAATAATATAAAAATATATAATAATTAAAATATCTTATATAATAATATAATAATGTAAAAATAATATATTCATAATATAATAATATTGATTTATATCATAAATTATTAAAGTATTATTAATAAACTCTAACATATTAGAAACTATAATATAATATAATTATTTAAAAATAATATGTAATAATTATAATATAATAATAATTGTAAAATAATATAACTTATTAAAGTACAATATAATATTATAATACATTATAGAATATTATATTATATTATACTAATGCTTATAATAATATTATAATGTAAACTAAATATTATAACATTTTATTTATAATATAGTTTATTATAATTAATGTATAATATATTAATAACATGTTTAATACTAATGTTGTAATAGGTCAAACTAATGTTGAACAAAAACACTCAACATTGTGTTTTGAAAACACTTTAAGGGAAAAACACAACACCATAATATTTTTTTTACAAAAACACAATAACAAAAACACAATGTTAACGAAGTCTAGTTGCTTTCTTTTTCTATAAATAAGAGATGTAATCCTTACGAGATATAAACATTGATGAATTAAAAATTTAAGTTTGATCTTGAGCATGTGAATTGCTTATTGGCATGTAAAGTATATTTGGAGTGTGAAGTTCTTGGGTGTGAGACCCTTAAGTATGATGCCTAATACCTTAAAATTCTCTTTCAATTGTCCTTCTCGATCATCCACCACTCATTTCCCCTCCAAAAGAATCTCCACCATCCAATGAAGTCAAAACACCTCTACATAAAATAAAAAATTAATGTTCAACTGTGAACAGTACCCATATATTGTTCATCTTGGTAGCCTTCTTCTTCATCGTCGATTTTAACTTCATTACGCCAAGCTGTCGACGATTTCTCGCCACCAGATCGAAGCCCTCACCCTACTCCCCATCACTTCCACATGTCCAGTGGCCATTCTCATACCAGCTTCCATTGTTTAACAAAAAGACAAAAAGAGAAGGATTTTTCCAAACAGATTCTTCCAATTCATTTTTAGCTCCTCACACATGTGCGCAAACACACAACCCAAAAAAAATTCTTTACTAAATATTGAATTTCCTTAATCCTTTTAATTATTGAAAAGCTAAATTTTGCTTGGGGGAGAGCTTTATACTTCTTAACAACTCAGACAAATTCCTTCATACAAGTAACCCTAAAAACTTGTTGGAGATGCCAATAAAAGAAAGGACCAATAGTATAAGTTGTGCAATCAAGAACAAGGAATATGTCATTTCATTATTAATAAATAATGAGATAATGACGAGGGTAGGCTTTAAGTTATTTCTTTCACTTTTTATTTTAATTATGATGGTTCGGGAATTTTTTATCAGTTAATTAAATAATTTAAAATTTGAGACTAAAGGTTATTTCTTTTATATCTAGGTTTACAGTTGATTTGAATAATTAGGGTAGGCTTTATTTGAAAGCTTATGATTCCTATAGATAAATGATTTGGTTGATGTTGTTAGAGTGTAGATTATAAACCTTAGCCCTCAAAACAACTTCGGAGTTTTGGTGTAGTGGTAGGGTCCTTTTATAGAAGTTAATTTCCATTTGCATGTCTTCTCGTATATGACCATGGCATGTTGATATATTATTCTTATAGTTAAATGGCATATAATTCATAGAATTGGATGGCTTAAATCCCTAGATTAATATTTTCTTTAGTGACAACATACCTACAAATATGCATGTTATACACATGTACAAATGTGCTTATGGTACCCTTATACATGGTATCCCAAATTTCTAACAATTTCTATATAAGCCGATCCAAACAATGTAACATT